TCACCAGCCTTTCCTGATGGCTTAGCATCTGCTACAGGTCTTGCATAAGAGCCTAATCTTTCTACCTGTTCTGTTTTCTCTCTGGCCTGCTGAAACCACAGCAACCCTCAAAATAAATTGCCCCATCTCTGACGTCTTCCCTTGACATTTCCAATGACATTCAAAGCCCTTTTCTTCATCGTCCCCAAGATACCACACGAGCTGGCCTTGCCTGTTTCCCACAGTGCAATCTACTGTCCACATTTTTTCCCCTCCTTCTCCAGATCTTCCCCTTCATCTCATCAACCTAGCAATCTTCCTGCACACTCGGAAGAAATCCTCCACCTCAGTGTCCTGGTGTCACCTGCTTCTTTGCTTTCATGGTAGCCTGGCTAAGTCTCATGTTGGTTAGCTGTCTGCTTGCATCTTTAATATTCCCCTTTACAGAGAATCTCAAAGAGAAATCCCGTTTCCATGTTTACCTTTGCTTTGAAACTCTTAGGACGCCTATACATTTCTATTATGGTCTTCCCAGCCATTCTATCTTTGAGCATAGACTCAATAAAGATGCACCGAATGAAGACATTGAAGCCAAAGACATGATGCCTGTCCCAACCCAGACACTGCGATGCCAGCCAGGCATTCCCAGAGGAAGTGGTGGTGTCCCATACCAAATGGGCCATGCATCCAAGGGCACTAGACACATCAAAGGAAGTCCTGTTCTGGAGTCATCTGATGCTCAGAGCCTTGCTTCCCAAGCCACAAGACCTGTCCCCATATCTTTGTCCTCACCATCTCCCCATTGTCAAAAGCACATTGGGAAGAATAGATTGTTGGGATTTTCTTCAAAGAACCACAATGGAATTCCCATTACAGGATTGTTCTTTGTGATGTGACGTGAGGTGAAGGACCCAGCTTCCTCTAGCAGCAACATTTCCCTCTTGCCCTTGAGTGCCATAGGATACAACTAGCTCCAGCTAATTATAGAATGTTCTGGGTACCATTTTCCTCCTCTTCCTCCTCTTTCTCCTCCCTCCCTCCCTCTCTCCCTCCCTTCTTAAATCGAGTAAAGCCTCTGAGTTCTTTTCTTTCCCCCAAGGATGGAGTTTCTCCTGCCTTCTGTTAGAAGCTGGGGCAGTTGGGAGTTAATTGATGTTAGAAAACATTTAAGTCCATTTTCTGTTGCTATAACTGAATGCCACAGACTGATTCATAACAAGAAAAGGTTTACTGGGCTGGTTATTCTGGAGGCAGTTGGTGAGGAGGACTCTTACTGTACAACATGGTCGAGAGCACCAAATGGTGAGCCACATGTATACCAGCTTACGTTTTCTTGGGTTTTTGTTTTGTTTTTTAATATATGTGGCGTATGTATTCATGTGTGTGCACATGTACACATGTGCACATGGAGGCCAGAGGTTAACATTGGTTGTTTTTCTTGATTGCTCTCCACCTTTATTTTTTTGCGACAGAGTCTCTCACTGAGCCTGGAACTTGCTGATTCAGTTAGACTGGCTGGCCAGCAAGCTTCCAGGGGCTGCCTGACTCCACCTTCCCAGCACTGTGATTATAGACTTGTGTTTGGCTTTTGACATGGGTGTCGGGGGTCTAAACTCAGGCCCTCATGCTTGTGGACTCACGTTTTACCAACTGAGCCATCTCCCTGACCCCTCTCATCCTCTGTCCTCTTCATGGCTTTATGTGATCCTCTGAAGACCCTCCCTTAAAATACCATTAATTTGAATACATTATCTGTTCCAGGGCACACCCCCAAACATAGGAAAAGATTCTCTGTGTCTCTCTGTCTCTGCCTCTGTCTCTGTCTGTCTCTCTGTCTCTGTCTCTCTCTCTCCTTCCCCGCTTCCATCCCTTCCTCAGTTTTGCTGAGGATTGAGCTAAGGTCTCATTATATATGCTGTTCTACTACTGTGCTCTGCCCTCAATTCCAGAGAACCTTAGTGCCCCAGGGGCTGGGAGATTCCCAGGGTGAGCCCTGTTCCTAAGACTCCCCTCTGTAACAGGGTTATATGGAGCAGTGCCTGGCCTTTGAAGAGCTTTCAAAGGGGGAGCTTGCTGAGAGAGATTTCTTTAAGGTTGGGTCTGAAAGTGGCTTCCTTACTGTCGATTTTCTACATGGGATTTGAAGCTTCTCATCTAGAGCAGGGATGTAGCCTTGGTGTCTTTCCGGGACATGGGGTTTAGCTGACAGGCAGCCACGAAAGGAGAGAAATGGTCCAAATGAATCCCAGCCCAGCCCCTGTTAATCGATGTGTCTCCCCTACACAGACGAGACTGAAGACCGCTACAGATGGCACCGGGTACCTGCGAGATTTCTTGCCCCCCTTTTGTCCTGATGCACAGATACTTCGGCTCAGGGTTAACCAACAGAGCTCGTTTTTAGAAAGACCACAGCATCAGGAGAGCACAGATTTCCCCTCTGACCAGGGAGAACGCTTGCCCCAAAGAAAGGGCATCAGTAACCAGATGCATCAGCCAAATAGACAGGACCCGGTTCTATGCCCCATAGAGCCTACGCTATGGCATCTGCTCCAGTCATCCTGCCCAGGGTTGGAGTTTTGGTCTGAAGCTCAGAGCAGGGAGTCCTCCAGGTCACAGTGTGGATCTCCTCATCCATAGAGACAGTAGCAGAAGACCAGAGGGGAACAGGTACTGTTGGGTAGCTTGCCTCATGCCACGTTTTACCTGCCTCCCTCTTTTCCTCCTTCCTTCTATCTTTCCCTCCCTCCCTTCCTCCCTCCCTTTCCTTCTCTCCCTCCCTTTCTATCCTTCCCTCCCTCTTCTTTCCTCCCTCCTCTTTCCAATCCACCACATTCTCCCTCCTCCCTCCAGTTTTTTTTCTCCTCTTTCATCTGTCTTTGGCCCTTGTTTTCCCACCATTGGCTTCTTCTGACTCTTTTCTTTACTATTAGCTGACTGACAACCCCTCATTTCCAAGGTTTGGGTTTCTGCTCTTTCCAGCATCCAAACTCAAACACAGCACCACCTCCAGTCTCAAAACCATACACCTGCTCAGCTCAGGATGACATCTCCTGCCTGGCAGTGTGAGCCTCAACCTCCAGTTCCAGCAGCTTGGATCAGATGTCTGCACAAACCCAGTTAGGTACAGGGAAGGGGGGCAGAAGTCAGGTGGCACAGCCCTGGGCCACCTGCCCTGTGAGCAGGGTTGGGTTCTCTCAGAAATGGAGATGGCAGAGAAAGAAATGAATGTTATATCTGACTCACGTGGGTAGAATCTTTGTCTATTGCACCAGATGGGCTTCTGGGTATTAAACAGAAGGACATTTCCACAGGTGATCAGCCAAGTGTGTGTTCTATGCTGCTTAGAAGCTATACCACCCTGGACAAGTAGCTCAGTGTCTTTGAGCCTTAATCTGTTCGTCTGTTTAGTATCTGTCTAACATAATTGTTGGGGATTAAATAAAGCAGTTCTAATAAAGTGACTCTTTTAGAAAAACAATGATAGTCTTAAAAAAATTAATTCTCTCTCCAGGATTCTAGGATCTCTGACAGCTCTGGGGATCCAAAGGCCAAGCCGACCTCTCAGTAAGGGGCATCTGATCAGGTGGTGCTGGGCATTTTTCACTTTGAGGAGAGATGTGAATGCTTTGTTACATACCACTGGTGTCTCTACTGCAAAGGAGGCAGCGCTTTCAAATGTGGGTCCAGGTTGTCAGAGTCACAGCCTGGCTCTGTTCCCAACTGGCCATGGGCTGTAAAAGCTCAGTGCTCAGTTCTCATCTTCAGTAGCCCTGACTGTAGACTAGAACCAGAGCATCTCTCTTAAAGGATGAAGGGGATGTCCAAGTGACCCATTCCACATAATGACCCGGAGTTCAGAAAGCCTCCCACGAACTAGACACTGAGATGGAGAAACAAAGCAAACATGGACCAAAACAAAAGATGACTCAGCCCATTCTTGGAACAAGCAAGCCATCACAAGTGTGCTGGTTAGTGTCTGTCAGCTTGACACAAGCTAGAGACACCCAGGGAGACTCCTTCAGAATGGCTTGCGGGCAATCTTGTGGCATTTCCTTGGTTAAGTATTGACGTGGGACTACACGGTGGTTTATGCCTTTAGTCCCAGCACTCGGGAGGCCCAGAGGCAGGTGGATCTACTCTTTGTGAGTTTGGGTCCAGGCTGAACTACAAACCTAGCTCCAGAACAGCTAAAGCTACACAGAGAAACCCTTGGGAAAACAAACAAATGAATTAATGTGGGAAGGGCCAGATCACTGTGGGTGGTGTCACCCCTGGGCAGGAGGTCCTGGGCCGTATAAGAAATATAGCTGAGTAAGCTATAAAAAGCAAGCTGGCAACTCTGCTTCAGTTCCTGCCTTCAGGTCCCCCGCCTTCAGTTCCTGTCATGACTTCCCTCAACTGTCACATATAATCCAAACACACTGTTTCCTCTCTAAGTTGATTTTAGTCATGGTGTTTACCACAGCAATAGAAAAGCAAACTGGGATATGAAAGCCCATAGTGTTTTGAAGTATTATGTTTTAAAGTTCCTGTGTGTGAGCAGGTGTGTGTGCACAGGTGTTTGTGTGTCCCTGTGTCAATGGAGCCAGAGGACAGCCTCAGGTGTCATCCTCAGAAATGCCATCCATTATCTTTTAGACAGGCTTTCTGACTGGTCTAGAGTAGCTGGCCAGAACCCCACAGGGATCCTTCCTGCCTCTGTCTCCCTTGTGTTCCATCCACAAGCATCCGCCATTTTGACACAGGTCCTGGGGATACTCACAGGTCCTTGCTCTTGCAAGGCAAGTGCTTTGTCAACTGAGCCCTCACCACCAGAGCCTCATTTCTCTTTTGGGGGTTGGCTTCAAATTCAGTGTATCCAAGGAGCCTTTTACAGCTCCTGATCTTCCTGACATGTGACACCACACCAGTGAAATCTTGGGGGGAGGATGTCCTAAACCCCAATCAGGTAGCCTCAGTGCCCTCCCCATCCCTATGGCAGGCCCAGCCTTAGCCACAGAGAAATGTTACCCATGACAAGAAATGGATGAGTGTCCACGGCAGAACATTTCCACTTTATTCTCTGTAAACTCTTCTTTGGTAAACAAGAAGACAGGGAAACCCAAAGATTAAAAGGAACAGACAAGTCAAGAACACAAGAAGAGGGTCGTCACCCTCCACAGTAGCTCTGAGAAGACAGCTATATCATTAGCAAGCTGGTGGGCAGAACCTGGAAACTCGGGGTCAGTGGTAGCCTGGGGAGAAAGAGGGGGTGGCGTAGCAAGAGGAAGGAGTCCACTCTGTGGGACTCAGAAGCCCAAATCATACAGCGAAGGAGATCATGCATGACGAGACTAGGGAAGCTCCACCTGTGCCCCACCCACCATCCACGTGGTTGGTGACCCACCGCAGGGACACCCGTCCATCAGGCCAGGGTTGGGCTGGTGCAACTCAAAGGAATGCTACCAGCCGCCCTCTCTCCATCGCTCCTTTCCCGCTCCACAGGCTGGTGTGTGCAGGTTGCAGGGGGTGGGGAGGTCTGGGAAGGAGTGTCAAGAGAGTCAGGACAGCAGGGGCAGGGTTTAAGGGAGGGGCAGAGGCAGTCCCTGTCCCTTCACCCCTTTACATGGGGGGCTCACTGCAGAGCACAATCTCCAGGTCCTTCCTGTAGAGCTTCCCAGCCTCAGCCAAGGACATGACACTCTTCCTGTAGGTGGTGAGCTGTTGGATGTTCATCTCCTAGGAGGGAGAAAGAGGTGAGAGTCGGCTTAGTGCATGGCCTCGCCCAAAGGAGTCTCCCGCCCCAACACAGTCATGAGCACACTGAACCAACCTTCCTTTCAACTCATCCTAGAGTAAGGAGTCTGCATGCAGAGAAGCATGGATTTTGCAGTCAGGTGGACCTGGGTTAAAACCCTCTCACTGACTGGTTGTATTGTTTTGAGGAAAGCAGTCAACTTTTCTGGGGCTCAGCAGCCTTAGCAGAAAAATGGGAACACCAATAACCCTTGTCTCAAGGAGCCATGGTGATGGCCATTGGTCCAGAGATGGGAGACTACTGTGGTGACAGTTGTGGTCATTTTATGACTCAAGTCTACTTCTCCGCCTCTCCAGAACTCCATTTCCTCCTCCTCTTCCTCCTCCTCCTCCTCTTCCTCTTCCTCTTCCTCCTCTTTTTCCTCCTCTTCCTCTTCCTCTTCTTGTAGTAAACTTTGGCAGATATCTTAAAAATACACTTCCCGTTTCAGGTTGTTGGTTCCTCATCTCAATTACACCAATGAGAAAACAGAAGGCTAAAGGCTAAGCTGCTTACTTAAAGGTTGGATTACCTCATCAAAAACATCTTCAGTCCCCAGAGCCTCAAACTTTACCTACTTACCTGGCCTACCTGTGTTTGGTCCCCCCACCTTTTGTCCCCAGGGTTCAACTGTCAATTGTTCTTATACATTTTGGAGACAACCTCTCAAATCAGCTATTCTCAGCTTTATGCCACGGTCCCCATCCAAAGGCATTTTGTAAACACTAAGGAATATCTCTCCTAACGTTGTCAAGTTCCTGAAAAAGGTCCTGTAATTTGTACACACTGGGGAAGGACGTGTGCCTAACTATGCATCATTTACATGTAATCAAGGAAAAGACCTTCTTTGGGGAGAGGTCATATCAACCCCAAGCTTGAAAAAAAATTTCCCAGGGGGAAGTGTGGCAGGGAGAGACAGCCTAATTTTATGTCTTGGAATTCTGTTCAAAACTTGGGAAAGGCCGAGCTACCAGAGCCTTGGGATATTGAGAACTATTGATGTTCATTTCCATCAGCCTATCCCTTCAGGAGCTTCCAGCAGTAATCTGCTTAGAAACCTTATCACAGCCCACACAGGCATCATTAGAACGAGGCCACGCCTGCTATGTGAGCTCACCCAAAATGGCCTTTTCCTTTTCCAGTTCAGGTGCTGGAATTTAGTCATGCCACTCTCTTCCCATTTGTCGATTCACTCTTCTAATGCCCAGGTGCCAAGCCTGGAGCCTGGCACACACAGAAGGCTCCCGTGTAAACAGCTTTGTTAATACCCCGTTCCTCTACCTTCAGAGTTGCTTCCAAATCCAGACTCCTTGCGTTTGTACGCACATCCCGGGAACACCCTGCACAGCTCCTGCCTCTGTTCCCCACATTAACTAAGCAGGAGCCCAGTGAGTTGATGATCAAGACATGCAGGTCACTCTGAGGTTTAGTGTATGTGTGTGTGTGCAGAGTTCACCAACCTCAAGTGATAGGCATGGCTTTATAAAGACTAATTAACCCAAAGCAAGTCAGCGATGGTTTTTTTCTTTCATATCCCTAATATTCCTTTGAGCACACATGGCTTCATAAATGATTTTCTGTTGGGATACAGTGTCAGGAAAACGGTTTACTGAGCTCTAATACTCACTCTGCCAAAGGCTTTCTTCTTCCTAGGAACTGTTTGAATCCTTATCAATTATTCCCCAGACTCATCTTATCTGGAGCACATGTAGGTAACATTAAAATGTAAATGTAGGTTCAAATCAATGAAGGTAGACACGCAGGGTGAAGCCAGAGAGATCAGAAAGTACTGGCAAAGAGGAACAAATGGACCCAGAGGCTGCAGCGAATTTTTTTTTCCTTTCTGAAATTGAGCATTAAATTTAGTTCTTATTTGGCAGCCCAGGCAGTTAGACAGCTCTAAAAGTTACAGAGAATTTGCTATTTAATTAAAGAAAGCAGCAGTCACTTTCTCAGTGAAAGCTATCTTCTGGAAGGTGAAGAAAGACAGATGCAAAGGCTGTCTTCTGGTTGCCATTCCACTGGATCCCTCCCACTGGGGGTACTGAGATAAGACCGTGTGTGTGTGTGTGTGTGTGTGTGTGTGTGTGTGTGTGTTAGGGTGGGGGACATTCCTGGAGGATTCCCAAGAGGCAGTACCAGTCACAAAATTGTGGGTTTTCTTGGCCTTTGAAAGAAACAAGCTCATCAGTGATTCTCTCCCAGCCTCTTCCCCAGTCCTAGATTCTCCAGTTAATGGATCTGGAAATTCTCTCGGCTGCTGCCCTCCCAAATCTCTCTCTGTGTTAGAAGTCTTTCATGAAAGCCATTTGGCTGGCACTTCTCCAGAACGGGCTACATCAACATTGCACTATTCACCACCATGGACAACGGCCAACGCAAGGGGGTGTAGGTGGCAAGGAGGTAGACAGGATGGATGGTTGACACAAGGAAGGCGATTATCACTCAGCTCTAAAAGGAGGAGAATTCCAACATGCTATCACATGGATGAGCCTTGAGTTCAGCATGCTGAGCAAAGTTAACCAACCATGAAGTGGTCACGTAATTCCCCTTCTACACGGCACCCACAATAGTGAATTTACAGATGCAAAATGGCAGGACAGCAAGGAGAAGATGGGAGACGGGATTGTGGGTATTGGGTTTCAGCTTCGAAGGACTAGACTTATGGAGACAGCGGTGCTTACACAGTGTAATGAACATGTTGCATCCCACTAGGACATATTCTTTTACAATGATAAATTTTGTTACATGTATTTTAAATCAACCAGAAAAAGACACCCCACCCCACAAATTGCAACTGTCTCGTCATCGAAGATCAGAGATAAAAGAATCCATCCCCGCTCTTTTTCTCTGAGTGTGCTCACCTCTCCCAGCCCTGGGACCCTAACCCCCTCCTGGGCTCAGTTCCTCACCTTCTTGTTCTTCTCATACAGATCCTTCAGGAGGGCATCCAGCTCATTCTCATCAATGTAGCCGCTTCCGTCCTGAAGGTGGCAGCAGAGAGCGGTCAGCACAGTGCTCTCAGAGTCATCCTGACCTCTTCCTACTACCTGAGTTCAAGAGCTCTGGTGTGTGTGTGTGTGTGTGTGTGTGTGTGTATGTTTGAGTGTGTATGTGTATATATGTGTGAGTGTGGGTTGTGTGTGTGACTGTATATATGTGTGTATGTTTGAGTGTGTATGTGTGTGAGAGTGTGTGTGCACGTGTGTGTGAGTTGTGTGTATATGTGAGAGTGAGAGTATGTGTATGTGTGTATGTGTGTGTGAATATGTGTGTGTGAGTATGTGTGTGTAAGGGTGTGTATGTGTGAGTGTGTACATGTGTGTGTAAGTTTTGTATGTGAGTGTATTATGTGTGAGTGAGTATGTATGTATGTGTGGGTGTGTGTGAGAGTGCATGTATGTGTGTGTGAGTATGTGTGTGTAAGATTTGTGTGAGTATGAGTGTGTATATATGTGTGTGAGTGTGTGTATGTGTGAGTGTGTGTGAGAGTATATGTGCGTATGAGTGTATGTGTGTATGAGTGTGTATGTGTGAGTGTGTGTGTGTATGAGTGTGGGTATGTGTGTGTGTGTATGTGTTTAGAGGGAACATCTAACCTTTCCATTTCTCTGCAAAGTGTTCAGACCATAGAAGGACAGAATAATGCACTTAATTCTGTCAATAGCAGTTAATACCAGACGGTTCAGCACAAATTGGCTTCTTTTCTGGTGGTGTTTCTTATTTGCATTACAAATATAAATGAGGCTGCAGAAGCTCAGAGATGACTGAGCATAGCTGTCCAGTCAACCTCGAACCCTTTTGTTATAAAGGAGACCCTCAGAGTCACCTGAACAGGGGACAGCTAAGATTAGGGTCGGGCTAGGATATGATTCTCACTCCCAAAGACCCAGAAAACAATTGATTGAGCTATGTGTGGAGTATGGGCACACCCATAGGCCGGTTATCCCAGCACTCAAGAGGCCAAGACCAGAGGAGGAAGAATTTGATAGCATCTTGGCTGCAAAGCAAGACCCTGTCTCAAAGTTGAAACCAAAGAAAGAAAGGAAAGAAGGAAGGAAGGAAGAGAACCAAAGCAATCAAACAAAAGGCCATTTCTCCTGTCATATCATGACCCAACTCCATCATGCCTACATGTGTCTCTGAGCAAAATCTGTGGGCTTCTGCCATTTATTTTCCCTCATAGCAGAAGAAAGAAACCACAGGCCCAGGTGCCCTTCTGGAAAGCCAGTCTCTTCCTACAGACCAAGCAATTCTGGTCATTGTCACCTCAGTCCTTCCCACCCCATACTGTTCCCTCTCACCTTGTCATAAAATGTGAAGATGGCATTGAACTCTTCTGAGGTCAGCTTCATACCCTGGAAAGACCAAAGAGTTAGAGAAACAAAGCCCCAAAGTATAAACGAGGGAGAGAGAGGGTAAATGTGTAAGAAATCATGGAAGTCTGCATGACTCTGGTGCATGTGTGTGCATGTGTATGTGTGTGTGTGCATGTGTGTGCATGTATATGTGTATGTGTGTATGTGTGCATGTGTGTGTGTGTGTGTGTGTGTGTGTGTGTTGGAGCAAAGGCAGGCAGAAGGCTGAAGATCCGAGAGATGAGGAGAATGGAGAAAGCCACAAGAAAGCAAAGCAATGTTTGTACCTGAAATTTCAGGAGGAAGTTTTCTTGTACAGGCAAGAGTCTGGAAAGAAAATATTAGAACAGAGATTAGAGGATATGCCATGGGCAGCAAGCCACTCAGACAGGAAGCAGGGTGTAGAGGAAGCATCCGTAACTATGGAAACAATCGCTGAGCCCTTTATAAAAGGAGTTGGTTGGAATGGAAGAAGAAGAAGAAGGAGGAGGAGAAGAAGAAGAAGAAGAAGAAGAAGAAGAAGAAGAAGAAGAAGAGGAGGAGGAAGAGGAGGAGGAGGAGGAGGAGGAGGAAGAAGAAGAAGAAGAATAGGAGGAGGAGGAAGAGAAGGAGGAAGAGGAGGAGGGAGGGAAGGAGAGAAAGAGAGAGAGGGGGGGGGATTTCCAGTTCCAGCTGGTTTTGTCTTGGATTCAGATGGGGACAGCAGCACAGAAGCCTGCCTGTTCAAAGCGACACCAGAAGCAGGAAAAGTACATACCTAGACATCTCTGAGAGGCCCAATTTACCATCTCCGTTTAAGTCAAACATTCGTAGCTGTTGGGGACAGAAAGAGGTAGCTGGGTTATCTGAACTTCTCATATAAGGGCCTCCACCTGCCGTCATCTGCACTGGGGTCATTGGAAGCGAGGGACCAGCCTCATCTCAGTCACTGGGGAAACACCTCTGGGGTGGTGAGACACAACAGCCATCACTGAAGGCCCACCCTCTTGGTTCATCTTCTCCTGGAGCTTTATCAGTTCCCATGGAAACAGAGAACCCCCAACCTCAATATCACTGTGCGAGTTAGTTCAGCAAGCACCTCCAAAGATGTATGGTGCTTTGAACTTTCACTCACTACCATGGGACATTTGACATAAGCCTGAAGCATTGGCAGAGAAGGGCTCCTGCTCATTTTGAAGCCTCGGGACTCAGGAGCCACACCCCACATCGCTAGGAGAGAGGCAATGATACCACTTACTATGGTTTGGGTGTACTCCTGGAGCTTAGGTTCATCATACGGCCGGTTGGCCTTCTTCAGGAGGTCGGACAGGAATCCCTGGAACACCAAAGGCCTGTTCAGAGCCCAACTTGTTCATTTAGCCCCCCCGCCACCTACCCAGTTACTTATTCCTTTAGAAAATCAAAGTTGACCTTTAAACTCTACCAATTACACAGCGTATAGTTCACTAATTTTCCTAACCCCTAAACATCTGTGGTACGACCATAAAGGCCTTTGGGTGGCTCCTGTGTACATACAACCTTGCACATAGATTAGATGGTAGAGGCTGGCTTTGACTCCCTTCTCAGAACTTAATAAAAGCCCTATCTATGCCCAAGGGTCACTGGTCTCCCAGAGGACCTGGGGTAGATATCTAAGTTAGATAGCCAATCTTCTGGAGTTTTCTCAAGAGTACCTATATTGGATCCTTGGGTGCCAAGAAATGTGCTTTAGTTGAATGCCTGGTCCTGTAGATAGATCCCTTTTGCTGGCATAGGACTTCTTCAAAGAAGTCCAGCATCTGTGCCAGGATCAAGTACCCCTAAGGAGACCACAATCCCATGTTCCCATTCAGCGTCCTTTCCCTCCTGGTTCTTTGGACCCACTAAGACTCTGGCCTTGCTCTTACTCTCCATACCCCCAAAGTTGATCTTCAAGCTCTTACCCATTAGACAGCTTACAGTTCCCTTCCTTCCCTAGCCCCTTAACATTTGTGGTGTGAACAGAAAGGCCTTTGGGTGGCTCTTGGGTACATGAAACTTGCCCTCCTCTCTCCTCTTTACCATCCCTAGGACCCATCGTACCTTGAGCTCATTCGCTTCGATGTAGCCACTTCTGTCTGTGTCATACTTCCGCCAAGCCTGCAACAGGAATGTCAACCTATTCACAAAAACGTATCAAACCCTGCCACCCTCTTCTAAGTTCTCTTTAATGGGACAGTAGGGTCTTGCTGTTAAGGATGCTAGAGTCTTCACTTTAACATGGGACAATGGCTTAGCCGGTCCCTTCAGTGTCACAAAGGAAGAAACGAGGGAAAGCCTCTTAGTCAAGGTTACATAGAAGAGGAGAAAAACCGCCTGGCAAAGGCCTCTTACTTTAATCTGCTCTAGGCTTAGGTCCTCTTTTGTATTTACTGTTTGTTTTGTATGCTGAGGGAACTATGGTGTGCTCATCACTGCATGCCTGTGGAGACCAGGGAACAATTTGTAGAAGTTTTCTCCTTTTAACATGTGGGCTTTGGGGTTTGAACTCAGGTTGTTGGACTTGACGGCAATCACCCTTACCCACTGAGCCATCCTGCTGGTTCCTAGGTCCTCTTATGGATCATCCTATAAATTAGGGTTGATTTTTTTTCTAAGGGCTAACCAAGCAGTTTTGATCAGGGATAGGGCAAGGGCCTGATAGATCTTAGCTTTGGGTATGAGGTCTCCTTTAATTGATGAGGAGTGAGGGAAGAGGCAGGGATGGGAGGTAAACTCAGGAGGGAACAGGAACAGGCCTGGCTACTACGTACTGTTCTCATTCTGCCATCCCCCGATAAAGATTTGCCGCACAGCAGCAGGTAACTTACAATCTCCTGAGAATATGTGGTCCCATATATTAGGGCTCTGAAACCATCAGGTAGGGGACGGAATGTCAGGGACGGAACTGCCTGGGTCTGTGACAGAGTCCCAGAGAACCTGGCTCCCCTCAGTCTTTGTACTATATTTCTCTCTCTCTCTCTCTCTCTCTCTCTCTCTCTATATATATATATATATATATATATATATGTATATGTATATGTATATGTATATGTATATGTATATGTATATGTATATGTATATATATGTATATATATACATATATATATATGCACACACACATATATACATACGTATGTATGTATGTATGTATGTATGTATGTATATAATTTCTTTCAAAATGTGTTCCTTTGATTTTTCTGCCCATCACCCCTGGCTCCAAAGCCACACCTGAGCCACACTAGGTTTCTTGAGAGGGAAAGGCAAAGTCAAATCTCTTCCCTGAATTTTCCTTCCAGCATGGGCTACCTCTGTATGAGTGCCTCTTGTGTTCTTGTTTTGACAGGAGTCTTAGAACTTGTGGACAATTTAGGGTCTTTCTTTTATTTCAAATAAAAAAAAAGATGTGATTTTCACTCCATACTAGGATATCTGGTCTTGGTTTTCCTTAGAGTTATGAAACACAAGCAAACCCATACTCTAGACAGCTTGGGTAGCTGCCACCCAGTTCTCCTCCGCAGGGCAAAGCATTCGGAGGCTACCCTAACCATTATCCTGCAGCAGGTTTGACTGTACCGTCCCCCACCCCCACCTCTACTCTCTGCTGGCTCTAAGCTCTCAACTTCCTTTTCCTTCTACCAAGGTGTCTTTATTCTCATCTCATTCTAGGAAGAGAGAGTTAAAGAGGCCCAGGCTATGCAGAATCTAAAAAGAAATAAAAGAAAGTCCTGAGGTAGTCCTAAAATTAGATGTTAAAGGTTGTACCCAGCAGGATGGAGTCCACGGGAGAACACAAGCCTTTCGGACCTCTGAGGGACCATTTCATGTTTGCAGATGCTAAGAATGGAACAAATGGCTAACCCTAGGAAGGGGTGGGATCCCAGGAGGTGTGTGTGAGAGTGAGGCTGTGCTTGCTCTGCAGACATGCATGGGTTTAGACGGGTAAAGTCACACAAAAGTCTAGCATCACATCAGTCATGTGGAGAGAAACTACATCGAGACACACACACGCACACACACACACACACACACACATGGGGGGGGGGCTTGCTCCTTTGAAGCATCCCTGACTCTTGAAAGCTATATGCATCCAGATGGAGTGAGGACCAATCTCTGCATCTCTACAAGAAAGGAAGCAGTCGACACAGTCCTCTCTTCCTTTTCCCCTCTTTTTTTTTTAATTTTTGTTTCCTTCCTTCCTTTCCCTCCTCCTTCTCCTTCCTTCGTCCCCTTTCCTCTTCCTGCATTTCCTTCTGTGTTAGGGAGAGAACCCAGGGCATTGTACATGCTAGACAAACAGTCCACCACTGAGCCACATCCATCTTCAGCCCACATCCATTTTCTATAGATAATAAATAAATAAATAAATAAATAAATAAATAAATAAATCAACAAACCAATGAACCCTGGGGATGTACCACTTTTCTTTGACACAGGCAAAAGTACTAAGGACAGAATTCAGAACGGTCAATTACTGACTTATAGAATCTTGCCATCTCAGAAAAACTGGAGAAAATCCTTTAAATTGCCATAAAATTAAACCCATATCTGATGTTCGGGCAAACTGCACTGAAAAGAATGAGTCTTCCAGCTTGAAAACTAGGTCTTTCCAACCAGGGGATCTTGTGGAGGCCTGAGTGCCTGATTCAGTGTGGCAGAGGGTCTACAGGGATCCAGGTGTATGATACCTCGGCTACACAGACCACACCTCAAACAGTAGAGCCCTGTGGGGTGGGGGTCTAGCATCTCCCAGGGACTTTCTGCCGGTGTTAGGGCAGGCCTTCCCTGAATATCGGAGGAAGATAGATCTCCATGTGCAGAGAGAAGGCTCACCTCCATAAACTCGGCGCTGGAGCCCACGTGCTGTCTGAAGCACAGAAGGAAATTCTCTTCGGTCGGCAGGATTTGCGCCAGCTGGGAAATATAGAAAACCACATCAGTGTGAGAGGGGGAGGCTCGGGGAACTGAGCCAGCTTTCCCACTGGAAGAGCGGAAAATGGCCAGCAGACAAACGTATGGAAAGAAGTGAGATGCCTGGGATGATCAGCTCTACCACCAGGAAAGGGGAGCCTTTACCACCTGGAGTGCTGCTTTATTGGTTGCAAATTAAGACTTTAACAACTTCATTCTCAAAATTTGCAAATCCCCACCATGTATCCAACACCATTAGCAGCCCACCTAACTGCTCTGCGCCCCACTCGCTTCTCTCCCAGGATCCCTGGGCTAAAGCTAATCCTAATTAGTTTAACCCACTCCTCCTTCAGGAGACAATCCCATTCCCCTCACCAACGATTGGCCTTGGAATAAGCATGTGACCCATACTGGCCAATGACATGTGAGAGGCGGGCTACTGTGGATTGTGGGGAAAGTTTCCTCGCTTTTAAAGAGGGGCGCACTCTGCAAACGAACATGGTTGCGTCTGGATGTGATTTCTGAAGCGTTTGCAGTCCTCTGGCTACAAGATTGGGGAAGACAATGGTGTGTTGTTATTGTTGTTGCATTTTGTCTTTGTTTTAAGCAGGGGACAGAGCAGAGAGGCAGAGCCGGAGCCACCTTGACCACAGCCTCGTTCTTTAGTACTGTCTCTTGACTTAAACGAGAAAAGAGTAAACCACAGCCAAGTGTCACACAGGACCCAAGACGCGTTTGTAAAGTTCCAGTGACACATGGCCTCACCCATTCTGGGGCTTATTTCCAATATCTGCTCCCCTGTTACAACGGCAGCATTGAAGAGTTGCGGGCAGTGACACCACAGCCCATAAACCTCGAAAGATTTCTTACAGGTTGTGTCTAAGCCTTTTAAGTTGATCTGCGGTGCTGTTCCTCAGTGACCTGAAGGGCAACCCCCAGCTGGATACAACTCCCTCCCAACCCACCACCCCGCAGGTGAACTACCCTCAGCTAAACTAGAGCAGCCCTACTGGGGAAGGTCTATGCTTTCCTCAATTCTTGGGCAGAGCAGCCTGTACCCAATGACTTACTAGTATGAGCCTCCAGGTGAAACAAAGAATTCTATTGGAGATAGGCCAAGGCAGAGATGGTCTCCCAGCTTACCCTTCTCTTTGCCCTTTGCAAACAATCCTCTCTTCCTTTCTGGTCTCTGCAGCACGCCACAACCCCTGGGATCACTGTCTCAAGCTTCATTTCTAGAGCTTCTTTCTGGTCTATCGCATTTGAACCAATATATCTTAGGAGACCAAGGCCCTGATTTGTGGGCTACCACTACCATTCCTGGCCTCTCGACCACAGCTCACAAACTGATGATCACGGTTGGCAGACATATTTATGTGTAAGTTTGAGTATATATGTGTGGGTGTGCATGTATGTATATGAAGGCACGTAGGAATTACATGGACTGTATGTCATGTATGTAAATTATCTATGTAAAATATATATTATTTGGATGCATTTAGATGGGGTATACATACTCCTATTAACTAGTCCTAAATTTGACTTACCACACATTTGCAGTAACTGTTGGATCCTGATAGCATTTAGGGACCAGACCCTAGACCATTCTTTGTTACTTGCTCTTTCCTTGGGTGACACACAGAGAAAGTCCCAACTCCTGTTTGGTTGGCTCAAGTGCTCAGGTAGGGATGTTTCCTGCTGTGCCTGAGCGTGGGGAAGTGGGATGGGCACAAGGACTACAGCCTCCGCAGGCCCCCTGGCTCTCCTCAGCCACGCCCCCTCAGCTGCCACGCCCCCTGGCTCTCACCTCAGCCATCTCAATTTTCCCATCTGAGTTCTTATCATACTTCTGCATGAACTCCTTCATCTTCTCTCCAAAATTATCGCTCTTGGACATCTGTGGACAGAGAAAGGAGGCTGATCTTGCCGCCATGTTATGTAGAGTTGAGGATCTCAGTGAAGCAGGGCTGGGCATCGTTTTGTGTCCTGAACACATGGCTCAGAAGCGTGTGGCGCCTATGCTCCGGGGGTCAATCTCTGCTTTAGAGCGGAGTCACATGATTATCGAGAGGACACAGGACACGTGGGCATGTTCTGTACCATGTGATTAAATGCACCCTTTGATGTTTGAGATGAGTCGATCCACGATCCGCAGCTCCGTAAAGGATTCGACCTTATTCCCACCACTCCAATGTGAGTTACAGCTCTTAGCACAACGCGGCTACACTCAGCACTCCACAATAGGTTCTGACCCCTTTCACCAATACAAAATGAATCACTCACTTGTCTCATCAAAGACACGCTTGCAATTCTGCAGTCCTCTTATCTGATTTCATGCTAGAAGGAATTCGAGGGCATCATACTGCTGAGGGGGAGATTTAAACCTTCCACTCAACTATTCTAAGCATAGAAAAATAGATTACTTATTAAAAGTCCCTTTAGCCTGTTATCCCCCAACTTAAACATAGTGATCTCTTGACGGTCTGGAACCTTTCCCTGGTTTGGGGTGTGGCTGAGCTGTCACCTTATCCTCAGTCAATGCTGCAGCTCCTCTCCCACCCCAAGGACAACTACTCTTTTGATTCTTGCCTGGGGCCCTTCCACTGAGGTTTCATGCTTCTTGAGATTGGCCCAAGAGAAATTCTACAAACTCTGAGAGCTTTTTTCTGGATTCTTCTATATCACCTTTGGCCTTTGAATCTGATCTCAATGTACCAATCTTTGTCAGTATCTATCTATATTTACAAATATGGAAGGTTTGATGCCAACTACTTATCATAAATGTGGGTAAATCCTAATAGAGGTTTACCACGGTCCCCAGTGGGCAAGTCATCCCTGCATCTCACACGTAAATGGAATCCAAGATGCAGTGACTTTCCTCAAGTTCACCCAGGTAAATACAGCTAGAGATTGAAAGCCTAGCTCCTGCTCCCAATATCCACATGAGAGATGCTCTGGGAACTGGTCCTTGATGACAGCAGTTGGGATTGCTATGGACAGACTTGTCAGTCACCCTCATGGCAGCTGAAGAAGAGACTGACTAAGAGGATGATGGTTAGATTTGAAACACTCCATTAAACACATTCTTCTGTGTAGCTTATGATCCCAGAGTCCGTTTTTAAAAGCTGGGATTTCTGCATCCTGGGTTCATATCAACCTAGTAATGAGGGCTGATGAGAGATCTGTTGGCAAACATATCTGTGCACCACCACCAACTCTCTTACACCCACGGCTTCTGCATGTTTCTCATTGGGGTACTTTGCTGAGCATAGAACCAGGAGCTCAGACTTAAGTGATTTCTCTTAAGAACAGAGCCCAGAGTATTTGCTAGTAGGTAGTGAATGGATGAGACAGTGGGTAGGAAGCAAGAGACAAGAGAGACCCTCAAAGGAGCCAGAGGAACTACTGGTGGGGAGTGGGCCCCATATATTCCAGACTAGACATGGGACACAACAAACCAGCTCTGGTCATTTCCTGTCATTTAGGGACTAGGCCATGATCTTGAGCCACTGAGTACAGTTCAAAGGTCATGACTCCTCTATACCAATAGGATGGTCAGGGCCCCTCAGTTTTCCTCTGTGTCCGTACAGAGAAGCCAGCCTTTGTTGGTCTAGAATACTGGATCTGTTCCCCATTCTCCACCAGGGGACATTTGATAATGTCTGGAACTTTTTTGATGTTTTGTTTGTTTGTTTGTTTGTTTGTTTTGACAGGTTCTCATCTGTAGCGCTGGCTATCCTGGGACTCACAATGTAGACCATATTGGTCTCAGACTCACAGAGATCTGGCTGCCTCTGCCTCTCAAGTGCTGGGATTAAAAGTTTGCACCATCACACCCAACCTAGGGCATTTTTGATGGCCATGACTTGGCTATCTCATGGGTAGATGCAAGCGTGCTGGAAAATCACTATAATATAAAGACATCCCTCATGACAAAACTATTCAGCCTCAGGTGTCAACAGTGCCGAGGCTAGGACACTCACAGACACTTTAGGGTTCTCTGAGAATCCTATCTTGAATTATCAACCCCTGGGACTCTGAGCTGTGTTCTCGGGAAAAGATATATTTATACACACATAAACACATACCTATATAGTTTGGGGCATTCATCAACTCTTGGTTTTCATGATGGCTATTTCTCTAAGACACCCAAGGAGGTTCAGATGAGGTTCTCTTAAGGGAAATCTGGCTTTTCTTTATATATTTACAAATGAAAGACTCTTTAGTGCCAAGATTGGAGAGACCCCAGGTCTCTAGATGTACCTTGGGACAGACCATTCTTAAGACTAGATAGGTCAAGATGACAGAAAACCCTGAACATGAGGGGTAGACACAGACTTACCATGCCAGAACCTTTCCTTGCCTTCTCCAGCTCTTGGAAGAAGTTTTCTAGCTCTTTACCTTCAATGTACCCATTTCCTGGAAAGATAAGTGAAAATAAAGAAAATAACAGAGTTAACCTTAGAGTTGAATATTAAGACTAGGAAGTCATCACCTCCATGGAGAACTTTTCCCCACTAGTCTGCAAGCAGGTATCTTGGCCAGTCATGTTAAGTATGGGCCCTTGTCCTCAGAGCACTTGCAGGCACATGTTCAAGATTAATAATGAGCATCCTTGGAGTACTCAGCCAGCAGCTGCAGAACACTGGAGAAATGGACATCTGGTCAGCTGGCAGAGATGGCTGCTGTTCCTGAGCATGCGCTGTGTGCTGGAGGTCCCACGGGAAGCATCATCTGCATCAGGATTTGTCAGCAGACAGTAGTCCTGGGACTAGGCCTAAGCTGGGTTTCTGAGCTTGAGAAGGCATATAGAGTTGGGGAGTGTTCTCCCAACATCTGTCTGGAACCCTAGAGTGTGACTCTATTTGGAAGTAAGGTTTTTTTTATAGATGTCACTAGTCATGACAGGTGTGAAAGCATAGAGAAGACAGGGGCAACAATTAGAGCAACACATTTCCAAGCTAAAGAATATTGTAGATTGCTGCTGCCTCTAGAAGTTGAGGCAGAACACAGAGACAGAGTCTCTCTCCCAAAGCCTACAGTGTATGCATGTGCAGATGTACACACACACACACACACACACACACACACACACACACACCTTGATTTCAAAGTTCTATTGTGTTAGGTTACCCAATCTGTGGTGCTTTGCTACGGCAGTCCCAAGAAACAAATATAGAAGGGATCCATGGGAAAAAATTATACAACCCGTCTCATCTGCAGAACGGCTTATTATAGTTAAATAGTTCTGCTTGTTATTTGAGACAACATCTTACCATATAGCCCAGCCTGGTCTCAAACTTATGACCCTACTGCTTCTGCCTCCCAGGTGGTAAGATTATAGCCATGTGGCTTACGTGAGACTTTTTGAGAGAGAGAGAAAACAAGTGTATATGCTCATGGATGTGCAGGTTGTGTGCACCCATGTGTGCACATATGAAGACAAAAGTCAATGTTGTACACCTCCCTCTATCACTTTCTGCCTTATTCTCTCACTAAACCTGGATCTGATTATTTTGGCTAGATTATCACGGGTTTAGAGATCTGCCTGTCTTTTCCCCAAAAGTTCTGGAGCTACAGATGTGTACAGCCACATCTGGCTTTGACACAGAAGCTGGGAGTCAAACTTGGGTCTCCACGCTTGTGCAACCATCTCTCAAGCTGCTAGGTGACAGTTTTCTGTTTATAAACCACACAGTCTATCATGAGTGTGTCCCAAGTATCAGTATTGTTTGAGCCCAGGTGTCAGCATCTGTGTGCATGATGGGAATGAACCGGAGGAAAAAGCACACTGATCATAAGAGGTCTGAAGGTCAAAGCCTGACTTTTCTGAAGGTCATATGAGTGAGAAGTCATATAGGTTCTTACAACTGGAGCCTGAATGATCCAGACACCAGTGCTGACATGAGTCTACAGCCAAGGTCACTGGTCTGGGCTAGCACTTATGGAAGGAACTCAGGCAAGGAGGGCTAAGGCAATGGTTCTAGAATTTATTGCATATTGGGATCTCTTGGGGATCATTAAAAAATATGAATGTCTGGCTCTCACCACTAGATATCCTGATATCACTAGCTTGGGCTGTGAACTCAATGTCGTGATTTTTCTTTTTTAAGGCTCCCAGGTGATTCCCTTGTATAGCAATATTAGGCAATCACTAACATCAAGTTCCTAATCTGATCAATAGCAGGGGAGCAAGGTCCCCATAGAGGAGGTCCAGCCTGAATCGCTAAGAAGGTGGTCACTTTCTTCAAGGGCATATGAAATTGCAGACTTAACAAAACAACCACACAGAAGCATTTGCCTTGGCCTCTGTGGGTAGCATGGGGGTGAGAGGCTCTCTCCAACCTCTTTTCCTAGTGCCCCTGAGGTCTTAAGTCCCAAATAAATAACCTCGGAGGCCATCCCTCCTGGGGAAGATGCTTCAGTAAATATAGTACAGAGAGAATTGGATGAGATGAATTATGCATTTATTTTTGTCCGCAAAGAAAAGGTGATTACTGGGTTCCTCCGGGAGGAGGCAGTTGTCTTTTCTTCTAGGATGTTCTACAAAGTACTTCAGGAGAGTTGGAAATTCACAAGAGGGTGGGGTTTGTTGGTCTGTGAGGCCAGCTTCGGTGAGGTGGGGCGACCAGGAGCTTTCTAGGCAAAGAAGCAGAAGTGTTGGCGATCCACTGAGTTGGCACCTGGTGGTAGCTCTGACCTGACAGTTACCCCATGACTTAGATGCAGATTTCCCCTTGACCATGGGCAAGTGCAAAGCCTTGGTCCTTACCCTCTTCCCCTAGGAGGCTTTACAAAGTTAGGCAGGGAACCAGAGCTCAGCTCTGAGTCATCCATCTTCAGCTTCCAGCATCCCAAGGCTAGGGTGAGTAGAGCCAGAGCTGAGAGAGGGAGCTTAGAGGTGGGCCTATGAGGATGTGTCGCAGTCCATGATGTAGAGGCTACAGGGGCTGGGGGCAGGAGCTGAGCTCGGGTGTGTGGAGAAGTGTGTGTTTCCCGAGGGAGTCAGAAGGTGGGTAATGGGAAGAAGAGGCAGCCACATGAGGAAGAGCTGTACCCACTCGTGTCTGCATAGCATCCCTTACCAAAAACCCTCCCCGAGAGTCCCACTTCCCATGGCTGGTAATGTCCTGTCATTTCTCTGTCCCTCTACTTGCTGCATAGAGGGTTGGTAAAGTTACCAGCCCATCTTATCTAGGGACTGATACCTGTTTCTCCTCCTGGGACACCCAGACTACGAGTATGGCCTCTCTAAACCTCAGTTTCTTCAATGGTAAAATGAGAACAGTGATAGTTCCTCGTCCTGTGACCAATGGAGAGATGCAACTGAAGAACTTACAGTGCTGACCCACACTAGTCTCAACAACGCCAGTGCAACAGGCACGAATCATCACCACCATGGTTCCTGCCTCTGGCCCCATGTTAGGAACACTTTGGCCTTGGCCTGCTAGATGATGATGTAATGAAATAGAGGTGATTCCCCCCTCAAGGATCTTTGGGCAGGACAGGCCTCAGTGAGCAGTCAAAGGCAATGGGAAGAAGAAAGAGAAGGAAGAATAAACTTAGAGGCAGAGAGAGGGCACCAGGAGCTGAGATGGTGGCTTCGTGCAAAGAAGCCCCCTTCTTGGATGCATTGAGGAACAAAGGGGTTCCCACATACACCCATGGGGGCATGATAAGAATCCCCATGTGCCTTCCTGAACGAAAGGAGAAAATTTAGCTCCATGCAGTGAGCTTTAGTTTCAAAGGGAACAACGGTTCCAGGCTGCAGATATGGCCCTGTTGCTACAAATCACAGAGTGGTCCAAAAGTGTGTGACCAGCCATTGAAAAGGCCAGACAGGCTATTTAAGGTGGAGAGTGAGAAGCAGGGAGTGGACACACAGGTCCTGAAGAAGGGCTTTCACCACTGAAGGAACAGGCATTCCCTCCAAGGCCACCCCCAGCCATCACTTAGCATCATTTAACAGGCCCTTTCATGTAGGGCTGGGATACAGGAGCAGTTAGCCAACATCCTTCTAGGAAGATTTAAGCGCTGGGTGAATGGTTTGCTTTTTCTGTGACCTTGTTACAGTTCTGGGGATGGGGGGGGGTGCACCAAGTAAATCTCCTGTGGATGGGCATTTATAAAAGATGTGGTTACCATAGTAACCATCATTGCTAACCTCCTTCAAACCATGAACATTAGGGAGAGGGGGCTGAGAGGGAGCTGGGGGCCTTGCATCCTTCCTGAGCCTACTTTTGCTTCCATATTTCACCACTGTGTACCTCAAAGCTAAGGACAGATAGCATTTCATTATTATTAATCTGACCAGAGAGGATTGGAAATTTTTGACTGAAGGATTCTGTACCCTAGAAAGGTTTATTGGTTCCTCCCTGAGGTTTGTATGTACAGATTTTCTGAGGTGAGCAGGCAAAAGGTACCCAAGGAGGAGGGACTGTGCCACAAGTTTCACAACTGTCCCTTGCTCTAGAACAAGCCGGTTCCTCTGGGCTCTGGTTTCCCTCTCAAGTGAGCAAAACTACTTAAACCCTTTCTACTTGATAAGTCGTCAGGAGAGCCATTCAAGTAATGTTTTGGAGAATGTAATGTCTCCTAAAAATAGAGCATCCTTCTTCACTCCCTCACCTCTTCAACCTTAAGGGTTTCTGACAACTTCTGGTCTCTTTAGAATGTTGGTTCTCAACCAGAACCCTGGGAAACTAAACAGCAAATCCATTGCCTGTGCCCCACACACCAGGCTTTCTGACTTAATTGATGCAGTGCGCCTGTCTTCTCAGCTCCCAAGGCTGACAGTACGTCTCAAACACGAAGGTGTATAACCATCACCTGGGGATCTTGTTAAAGTAAAAAGTTTACTTTGGTAACTTTAGAGGACCACAGAAGAGCTGGCTGTTCCTGCGTGGTGTGTGGACTGGCGGTAACCTGGGAGCTGGTTAGAAATGCAGAATCCAGCTCAGTGGTCAAATGCTTACAAAGCACATATGAGATATTCGGCTTAATTCCTAGCCCTGACCTCCCAAAAGGGCAGAATCATAGGCCCCTCCCTCAACCATCCGGATCTCTCACTGGGTGTGGTGCGCATGGATCTGTTGTTCTCTTGCTTCCTGTGGTGGCAGCATCAGTATGCTCGGGAAGCTTGTTAGTGTTTGTGTTACTTTGCATAGCAGACACTGGCCATGCCCAAAGACCTTCCATCTCTGCCTTGTTCTCCTTAGGTTTCTGCCACACAAGCACATTGATGTTATAACCCTACCCTGGAAAAGAGGCCTTGTGGGGGTCAGATGTTTCCATCACACGGCTAACAGAGATTACCGTTTCCTTTTGCTCATCCCAGGGATAAGATCTGCCCATAGGTCTACTTGTCTGGATTTCTCTATCCATCTCACCTATATGTAAGCTCCCCGTCACACCTCTCT